GGGCACTTTATGGTCTGTTACGAGGAGGAATTTTAAGTAGAAGCTAGTGGAGTGGAGCCGTTTGGCGGTGCTATAGAAATTTTTTTTAGAGGTCAAAGGCATGGTTTCCGGACTTTCCGCTGTTATCTGCTTGCCGCCTCGCAGAGTTTGACACCTCTATCATGTGTTTATAATTTCTTTAGGCTCATGTAAGTATTGCAAAATATGTTTTAAGCTCTCTAAGTTAAGTTTGAAATATTCCGTGAACATGGTGCTTACTTGCACTCAAAATTATGACGCCGGGCCTGGCTATTTGATTAGCTCGATTACCGAAAATGTAGCTTCTTGACAGGTCTAATTACCTCATTGACTGATTTGTTACAGGCTTATCACCAAGAGCGGATAGGCACATCAAAAACTAGCCTATGTGTAGCCGTACCCACCCCCCGAGGAAAAACGTTCTTCCTCGGGGGAGGGGTGGGTACGGCTACACGTAGGCTAATCAAAAACAAAGTCTACAGGCTCCCCTGTCCCCGCCCCGATCGCTTTGCTCTCCGAATTCTTCTGTTTCGCGCTCGCCGAAATTTTTTCCGTCGTCGCCGGGAGCCTGTTCGCAGGCTAATGGTTTGAATTCGTGCGTCATGGACAAAACAGGTGACCTCAATTTTCAAGATCGTAACTGTGCACTGCTCTTGTAACTGTCCCCGCTGCAACATATTTTTATGCCTTAATATAATCCGTTTGATCCGTACCAACTTGTGTACTGTCCCTGCAATATGCGTTCTATACTTGTTCTATATACTTCTACACTTGCCGCTTGTCTGAGGCTACTAGCTACGTCCCCGAAACATATCCCCTCTAGTAGCGTGTGCCGACCTTTACTTACTAAGAAAAGCCCGGGAGGCCCATGTGGAAAGGTCAGGAATGCTCGTCGGAAAATTTGAATTTCACTGAGCAATCTAGGCGCGGCTGGAGATTTATTTTACCCCTAAAAGTTATTACTTTAAAACGGACAGACAACGGATTTTTTAAATTATTTCTTCGAGTGTAAAAGATACCATGATGGCTAAAAATAGTGAATAATTCACATTCACATAATAGCCACTCTCTGCCTTAATGAGGATAAGTTATGGGCGAAAAACTTTTGCCTAAGGCGCAGGGTGAGCTGAGGGTTTTGGGTTAAATTTTCCAGCGTCGCTGAAGGGAAGGTGGGACGGGAAAAAACTGGACGAACTGAAACTAAGAGTGGACTTTCGAAAAGAGGGCGAAAAAGGCCAAGCGGGGCGTGTAAAAAGTTTTATTAGGACCTCTAGGGACTTGAAGGGCCAATAGAATTAAGACAAACCAAAAACATGTGATTCATAGAAGTGACGAAAGGCACGTTGAGGCTTTTCCGTGAGCGAGAATAGCGTTGTTTCCTGCACATCCTAAGTGAGACCAAACTCCGTGACTTACAACCCTAAACGAGACGGCGAGCATCCCCGACGTTGAGATATGGGGGTCTGCTCCAGCCCGGGATGAAACACTCCGAGAGGTGACCAGATACCTTATTGGCGTATTGCTTTTATAACTTGAATTACAATAGGGAATGGTACTTAACAGGAAAGTTGCTTGTTCCATTGCGACTTTAATGATATGCAACGAAATGTGAGTTAAAACTCACTGAACCTTACAGACTACGTAAGATGTTGTCAAGTTCTTTTGTTAAACAGAGAACTTCACGCATAATAAATATATGGACTTATACGAGAAATCTTGCCTAGGCCATAGTTAGTGGAGGGGACTAACCATGCCCAGGCCGGGTACCACAAAATCACGTACTGTAAACTGAATGGATTGATCTTGTTCGATCGTAGAATAAGGTGAGTTTACTTACTGCAAAGGTTTTTCTTATTTGGCTTAAAACTTACAGAAAGTATTACATCGATCGTGATTGCGCTTTGTCGAAAGTAAGCTATTGTCGAAGTCAAAATTCTATGCACATCCTTTCCGTAATACAAAACAGCCCGTCGTATTTTTAGTGCTAATAGATTGAATCTAATCGGTAGGGAAAGTTGAGTATCACGACTTTACAGTATCACGACCGCACAATTTCTGGAGCACATTCTGTTTTTACCATGCGTAACGAGGCACGTTCATTTGCAGTATGTAAATTACATACACGGACGGCAGAGTTACTTTAGTTGTGAAGTCAGTGAGCATCGATCGAGGCTGTTTAGTCCACTGGGTTTATTTTTACAAACATGGTGAAGTTAAGTCATCACAGCCATGTACGCCAAACAAACTACAATAAACAACAGCCACGAACAGTAATTTTATGCATTTTAAAATAACTTATGCGTGACACATTGAGATCGGCACGCATTTTAAGTGTCAGAGAAAACATTAACTGAGAAACCTCCCCAAAATCCCTTCTACCCTGGAAAATAGCTTAATACGGGTGCAGGCATAGTGCACGATAATTTTGTATCATTCTTTTCAAGCAAACAACTTTAATTACGAACACGATTACTACCATAACTTAATCAGCTTGACTCAATAGATCAATGAATATAAATATGAAGAAATTTGAACAATATTGCTATGTGGCGTGGCCTACTGGAATGATTCTTACGTTACAAATATAGGTCCTCGTAGAGCTAATTTGAGAAAGCCGGAGAAATTTGAAAATGCAGCTTTATTTCTTACAGTTAGGCCTACCGTCCACACTAATCCGTCACGAATTAAACCGGAACATTTCGAAAACGCTCTTCAAGACGGAGGAATTTGAAAACCCCGGGGTTTCGTTTTCGTGTGGACGGAAAACATTTTGAAAACGGAGCTTTTCGACGATGATGAAGACACGATAATCCATGTGATTTCCCTGTTCGAGTTTTCCTCAAACACAAATCCAAAATGACCGGTGATTGGGTGGACGCGTGGTGTAGACAGGGTTGAGGTATCGATGAACTGGTGTGTGGACTGAGTCGCCGGCATAGATCACACCTGAACTAATCATTGATTTATCGACATCTGAACGGTGCTGTTAAAGTAAAACGTGTATATACATCTAGTGGGGGTCTCGCGAAAATCAGTTAGGGTTCAGGAGAATTTAAGGCCGAGCGGTAACCATAAATGCGCTGGACTAGCATCTCATCCAGGGGTGGGGTGGGTGGGTAGACATACTCTTAGTTGCCACAATGGAGATAAAGCCGGGCCGACCTAGTGGGTCACTTGGCGATCAGAACAGAGGACCGGGATGGGAACCAGCTAGGGCTGATGTGGCTTCCTCCAGAAAAAGAGCGGTTTTCAATTGAGAACCAAAGTCTCACGCTGACCAATCACAAAGGACAGAGACATTCCAATGAACCAATCAAAGCTGCAAACGAATATATGCAGCTCACGCGAAGTGCGGGAAAACGTGCGCGAGTGAGTTCCGATTAGTTTTGGTTTTACTTCTGATTGGATGACAAAAATGTTGTTGAATGAGTGTCGATGCACTTAGCTACAACTGGCTAGTTTTCATGCATGCCACTTAAACTGAAAGAAACAAATATTGCAAATAAACATAACAGGCTTAAGAATCCCAACTGGTGGGAGGCAGACTAGTTGGCTATTTACAAAGTGGGGCGAGTTTCGTTAGCCAATCGCTGCTCTTGTGTAAATTTAACAAACTGACGTCAGTTTTTCATGCGTCTGTCCTGTTATTGATCATGAATTTCGTCATAACATTGTCAAAGTAGCTGTGGATCCGCAGACTACT